TCTTGTAATCAATCACAAAATCATTATTTAGCACGATTTTTTTTTATCGAATAAGCGATTGAAACGTAATGTAATTGAATTTTTTTGTTTGATTCTCATCTGATCTTGAAGAATCGTGACATTAGCAGAGTACATTAGCTAACTTGAGGAAACGATACGATAACATTATCGTTTGCATAATATTTATAATGTGGGATAAAAATATTTATAATATAATATCTTTGTTAATCCTCTTGAAATTTCTGATACCAATAATATATTTGTTTATTTTAAGATTTTTGGATTTTCAAAATGTAAATGCATCTCAATTCTATTCGTTTATCAATATATCATTGGTATTAAATTACTTAGTGCAATTTAATGTTGATGTAATTAATGATTCGATTGAAGATTTAAATTTATTATTTTTTTTCCGCAATTTAATGTATTAAATTTTATAATTTTGCAAAAAGATCGATAAAAATTTAATAGTAATAATAATAGTTGAAATATTTAACAATAAAATATATATTCGAGACGAATATCTTCGTTTTCATGATCATGAAGAAATATTTTAAATGCAAGATCTCAGAACATGCATTATTTATTTCGCGATTAGAAAATTAATCTCGTAATCTTATTAATTTACAAAATTCAAAATAAAAATGTGTGCTTAATGTGCGCTCATCAAAATTCCGCATTATCCCGAAATTGTTTTGTTAATTAAACGATTAATTAAACAAAATATCATAGCTCGTTGACAATTATAAATAATAAACTTTGATTCTGTTTCGAGGAAACATTAATAAAATCGAATTATGATATTTATCAATTATTTAAGTAATAATATCCTTCCAGGAAACAATTTTTAATTTTTATATCAATAATAAGATCAGCACTTCATTAACTCAATTGCCCATTTAGGTTTATCATTAGATTAAATTGTACACGACATTGGAAATGTTTGTGATAATTAATGCTCACGTGCAGATAAAAAAATCTTGATACAATATGAGCATTGGTGATAATATGGCTTAAATTTACTTCAACTTTTTCAGCTTCTCAAATAGCAATATACGTACAACTTTGGAAAAGAAGAACATTTTAATAAATACAATACTTTATCTTCATTTCATACCTTTTCTTCATTTCTTCTATTCTTGAAATTTTCTTGAAATTTATGTTATAAGGAAATGGATTAGCGATATTAAATATTTTATAAAAATATAATAACTCTGACTGAATACATTTTGATGATTAAACGTGAAATGTATTTTTAATGGTATTAGAAGTAATTTTCTTCTTTTCTTGCTTTAGAAAATATCATACATAGATGATGATATCGTTATATATAATTTTTAATTGAAATTAATTAAAATCTTTATGGGATCAAATGAAAATACTTTTCTTTTTTTTTTAATTTTTACAATAATACAATTTTAATCTTTTGATTAGCTGGTTTTATTTAGAAAAAAATTTTATATTACGTGGTTTCACAATAAGATTAAATCGAAATAAGAGAATAAGAGTATCGATACTAATTGATTATTATAAATAAACAATCTCACGAAATAGTTAAAAAATGATTGTAATACGTTTTATAATATTTCGCATTTATTACGTTCAATTCATATTAATCACGTTATATGAATCGATTTTAACGAAAATTTTATTTATTTAATCATTACCAAGTATAAATCATCAATTTTATCATATTACTTACATACGTATGACGTTATAATTTTTATAAAAATATTTATCATATTATATTTGTTTCTTATATATGTTAAAGGAATGAAAATAATCATAAAATAATTCTAGACTTGAAGATTGAAAAGGTATTCTCAGAAGAAAAATATTTCATACAACATAACAATTAATTATTTTTAAAGAAATTTCATTAAAAAAATATTGTGTTAATTTTTATTGAAGAATATTGAATTCATTAAAATTGTAAAAAAAAAAAATTAATAAAATAGTAATTGCAGTTTAATTAAAAAGACAGCAGTGCTACGATCACTTTTTACAATATTTCTTCTTTGAATCGATACAATTTTATTTATCACTTTCTTCAATTTTTTTTTGCACACACACACACACACACACACACACACACACACACATGACAATATATATCGGAATCCTTTGTTAATCTCAATCGTTCGCAAAAAAGTGTTCAACTGAAAAGATAATCATGATTTGTTTAATCCACATGTAAGATGGCACTTTACTTTGATAATAATAAATAGTACTATCGTGTAAAAATTACCTTATCTAGTTGATCCTGGCCGTTGATTTCCCAGATAAGGATATCGAAAATAAGTTCTATTAGTCTAGCTAGAACGAAGAACATTTGAAATGTCAATTTATAAACTTTTCCACGTGATAATTTATTGCCACGAATAGCACGAGCAAGCCGTTTAATTTGTGTCGAAGAGAAGAAATATCGATTAAATTTTTTGATAACGCGCAATAAGAAATCCTGACGATTTGAGGGGGCACTTTATTCTTGATGGAAAATTTTATCGAATCGTTAATTTCGTTTACCTTGATAGGACCAATCGATGATTGAAATTTTACAATATCCAGAAACTGTGTACAGTCCAGAAACTGGAACAAGGAATATAATCCGTTTCATGAAATAAATACGTTACAATTTTTAAAAATATCAATGGATCGATGTGCTTTTGAATGATTAATTCTATGACGTCGTTGATCATTTGGGTTCAACACACGAATCTTGGAGAAATTCTCGGATCGAAGCGATATAAGCGGCGATCTTTCTCCAATTGATATCGTCGTACAGATCACTCTGTAATAATTTATTAATTATTTAAAAAAAAGAATAAATAAATATTGAATTTTTGTCAGTATTTTAGAATATGGTTTATGAGAAAAGTATTATTAAAAGTAAAATAATAGTAAGGATGATTGAAATTTTATTGCGATAGAATATTATATCTATCTGTGATCTATAATAATGATTAGCTTGCGAATTTTCACGCAAATATATATTTTTTATATTACAAGAACCGATATAATCCATAAAATCTATTTAAATAATCAATATAGTAATTAAACAAAAATTCAGGTAAAGGAATTTTTAAATTAACTTTAAATCTTCAATATACCATTACTAAGATCGCTGTGAGCATTATTCTTCCAGAAATAAATACGTTTATCATTTAATTTATCATAAAACTCGATTAAACCTTATTAAAATTAGGAAAACTTTGAATGGGTATAACTTCGAGAATAACGATCTCCGGTCAACGAGTGTACGATCGTTAGAAGCGTGAAACTTCCCCCTTTAAAATTGTTTTTCATTTATCCCGATACGACTTCCGGTTCCCGAGATATCGTCGCTTAAAGCGAAAGGTAATTTTTGATCGTTTACTATTTCCGTCCTTGTCACTTACTCGGATCTCTCGCTCGCACCTTGTCTCATTGACCTATCCCAAACTGCAGACAAGCGACAGACGCGATTCTTGGAAGGACGCGTTTCCAAGAAAAAGTGTAGGTCAGTGAGTCGTGGTCCTATTCTCACCGAGTTAAATGCTATGCCACTTTGAATCCTTATATCTCGAGAACGGATTGAGATATCAAGATGAATCGAAAAGCGATTTCGATGGTGTATAGTTCTCTCTATGTTTTTGAATGGATGACAAAATTTTTAACCTCTTCTCACGCCCTTTACACGAAAACAACAGAAAACTCGATGTTTCGTTTGTGATGTTACGTGACTGCAACGATAGGTGATATAATATGTATAGAGATACAATCAGCGTATGTTTGTAACATGGATATGAGCGTGAATACTTAGGAAAAAATTTATTATATATTTATAATTTATACTTTAATAATTGTAATTAATCACAATTACAAATAAGAAGCAATAAGAAATTAGCAATTGTTCCGATTACTAATTTCCTTTGTTTTTGATGACTGCACTATCTACACTTGACAGACCAGATGATAAATGATGAATTATTCCGTTTTCTATTATAAAAGAGTTGAGATGAATAATGTATAGTGGTTAACCTATGTCCTTTGCATTGTTCCAATTTCATAAACGCATAATTTTTGCAAATATTTCAACTTTAGCGAAAAATTATACAAACTTAACGTCTTAACGAAATTTTTATATTTTATTCTTATAAGAAAGGTAAAATTATATATTTTCAAATAATCAAATATTTAATAAAAGTATAATTTATATATAAAGCGATTTACGAATTAAAATATTCAAATAATCCCGTAATTCATTCCCGTGGTTCATTCGTGGTACGCGACTAGTAAGTAAGACAAGGAAAGTAAATAGTAAGAGAAGAACAGAGATAGCGTAAAAATATGGAAATCAGCGCCATCTTCAGTGTGCCGCAAATGAAACTCAATATATAAGGACAGAAAATGTTGAAAGAAGGACAGAGATAGGGTAATTAACCATCAGCGCCATCTCTCGAGCATCGTGGAAACCTTTTCGAAGAATGATCTTCTAAGACAACTGAGAGATGGCGCTATGTTTTAATTCTTATTCTACCTTATCCTATCTTGAAAGATTTCTTCAGTATTCGAGAGATGGCGCTGACAGTCTATTCTATCTCTATCCTTTTCTTACTATTTTCTGTCCTTGTGTATTGAGTTTCATTTGCGGCACACTGAAGATGGCGCTGATTTCCATATTTTTACCCTATCTCTGTCCTTCTCTCATTATATACCCTCCTTGTCTGTGCTATTCCTGGCGCGTAACCACAAATGAAATACGGGCACGTTAATTAAGCGCACTTTCATTTTATTCTTTTTTCAGAAGTTTATAACGTATCGTATTTTATCTTAAATTTATTATTTCTTGCGGAATAAAGGACAATTTCTTCTAATTTATAATTGTCTTTTAATTTGTAAAAAAATTAAAATATGTAAATTCTTAACGTTAAAATTCCACTTTTTATTGCACATGTTACATACAACGTAATATAAAAATACATTCCACGTATATTTTCTACATATTTACAATTGCATAATTTAAATAACCGCGTTATATCGAAAGATATTTTCAAATTCTTACGAATCTTGTCATTCTGAACAACATTGTCCAACATGTCGTGATTGTATTAACGTATACTGTACAAGAAGATCATCGTAAATTTATTTCAATACTTGATCGCATTTTTATTCTCATCGTTCGCTCGCAACGAGTTGGTTCTCGACACACTTAATAAAATCGAGTAATAAATATTGACAATATAATCATCGAACCGAACGCTACCAAACTGTTACCGGATGAAAAATCTTGCTTGTGCAGCCATTCTTCGATGAATTTTCTGTTGTGTTCGACCCAATTTATGTTACTGCTCGCCTTAAGCGTGATATTAAAAATATCCGATTGCAATCCTTCCCTGGAGATAAGGGACGTTAACTGTAAGTTAAAAAAAATAATTAATTATTTATTATTATTATTATTAATTATGTTTATATATTAATTATAGTTGTTATTAATTATGCTAGAATTAAACTCGTTGATAAAATAAATTATTACCATACCTTTCCAAGTTGTTCGGTGGTCGTAATGCTGTTCGCGATTACATCCAAATACGATTTGATATTATGTTCGGTTTTGTCTACTAAAAAAAAAAAAAGAAAAGAAAATATATATACGTATAAATTATAACACATTTGCAATAGTTTTTATATAATAAGATAGTATTATTAATTACAGTGTCACGTATTTGTTATAGAGTATGTTCAAAACGATATCGACACCCGCCGGATGTTCGTTTATAACGTTTCGATACGCTGTCGAGAAAGACACCGAGGAATTATTCTCAAGGGTTTTCAATAGATATTTCTCCAAAATTTCGGACGAGCTCGAACAAGCCAAGATCGGTGATAAAGTGTTCCTTTCATCTTCATCCGTTATATTTTTCACAACGTTCCAAGTACTGTTCCATGTCCCCGCGTCTGAATCTCTCAGAGCGGCGCAGAGAATATTGTTCTTCAAATTGGCGTCGAGTCTGTAAAATAATATTTTATCGAATTACACTTATTTATTCGATATTATATACGAGAAATTTTTTAAAATTTAGACGTAAATAGTGAATAGAAAACGTAGAAAATTAGGAGGAAGCCGATAGAGAATATTATATTATGTATATTTTTACAAGTTTTGAAGTAAGTTTTTATAAGTTTCGAAGTAAATTTATATTCATGGAGAATGTTGTACGATAGAATAATATTTCTTTCGAGTAAATCAATTTTATTTGATAAAATGTATATACTATACAATAATAAGAGAAAATGGAACAAATCAAATTAAATAAATAGATAATAAATATAAAAATATGTACTGATATTGAATTGATGAGCTCAATCAACGAAAAATAAATTTTGATTGACATACTTGACAGATGATAAATGATAAATTATTCCGTTTTCTACTATAAAAGAATTGTGTAAATAATGTATTAACCTATATCCTTTGTATTTCATAAACGCATAATTTTTGCAAATATTTCAACTTTAGCGAAAAATTATATAAACTTAACGTCTTAACGAAATTTCTATATTTTATTCTTATAAGAAAGGTAAAATTACATATTTTCAAATAATCAAATATTTAATAAAAGTATAATTTATATATAAAGCGATTTACGAATTAAAATATTCAAATAATCCCGTAATTCATTTTCGTGGTTCATTCGTGGTACGCGACTAGTAAGTAAGACAAGGAAAGTAAATAGTAAGAGAAGGACAGAGATAGCGTAAAAATATGGAAATCAGCGCCATCTTCAGTGTGCCGCAAATGAAACTCAATACACAAGGACAGAAAATAGTAAGAAAAGGATGGAGATAGAATAGACTGTCAGCGCCATCTCTCGAGTACTGAAGAAATCTTTCAAGATAGGATAAGGTAGAATAAGAATTAAAACGTAGCGCCATCTCTCAGTTGTCTTACAAGATCATTCTTCGAAAAGATTTCCACAATGCTCGAGAGATGGCGCTGACGGTTAATTCTTACCCTATCTCTGTCCTTCTTTCAACATTTTCTGTCCTTACATATTGAGTTTCATTTGCGGCACACTGAAGATGGCGCTGATTCCCATATTTTTACCCTATCTCTGTCCTTCTCTCATTATATACCCTCCTTGTCTGTACTATTCCTGGCGCGTAACCACAAATGAAATACGGGCTCGCTAATTGATCGCACTTTCATTAAAATGTATATACTATATAATATTAGGAGAAAATGGAACAAATCAAATAAAATAAATAGATATGAAAATATGTGTCCAATTGATAAGCTCAATCAACAAAAAGTGAAGAGAAATGAACGAATAAATAAATAAGAATAGAAAAATAGTTAACTTACTTTTTCTTAGGATCGCTCAACCATTCTTTAAATTCATTATTGACGTAATTCAAACAACTTTCAGCGCCAGCTCTGCAGCCCCAATGCATTATGGTCGGCCTAAGAATCTTGGTAAGATGATCGTCGTTCGACTTAGGTTTGTAATCCACTTTTTCCACCAAAGATCTCATTAGCCAGGTAATATAAGACTGTAAGCGTTTCATTCGTTTTACGAGAAACAAAAAATAAACAGAGTGTTGATATATTCGTGGTATCTAAAATCTATTTATTCAAATTCCAAATTTTAGACCGGCGCAATTAGAAATTGGAAATGAAATTTAAATAGAGATACATTTCGGATGTATCGTTAACTTATCATAATAAATACTGCACTTCGTTGTAGATATCTTTTTATATCAAATTATATCAAAAATTCAAATGTCAATTACGTTAAAAATTCAATCGATATTCATCATTATTTATTTAGGCTAAGAAGTGTGTAATAAATTTTACAGATACGTACGTTGAACAAATGATAATGTTCGGAGGTTCGTAACATGGTATTCAAGAAGTTGAAATTCCTAAATATTGTTTGCCAAGGAATATAATCCACTTCTTTGCGAAGGTACATCGTGAGATTTAACGTGATGTCGTAAGAGAGTTGGTTGACGCGTGCCAAATTTAAAGCATCGTCCATTAATTGTGCGCGCGTTACGGGGCTCAAATTGGTATAATTGAACGAGTACAAGTAATTTTTTAACAATTTCCAGTTCTCCTCGTCGTAATTCACGCGATAATAACCTAGAAGAACGATTTTTAAAATTTTTAAAAATTGAATATAACAAAAGTGTAGAAAATTGAATGTAGAAATAGATAGATGGATAAAAATGATTAAATCTTGTACAAAGTTATTGAAAGTGTTAAAGCGTTAAATGGTGTATGATTTATTGAAAATTTCCAATAAGTGTAATAAATATCCATCTGTGTATAAAAGATAAAAGATGGTAGGACAAAATTTTCATCCAATACGAAATCGCTCGTAAATTAATAAATAAGCCTCGACCGACACTTTTCTGCAATATCATGATACGTATAGGATGTTTCATTTGATTTTCTCCATATTGTTATTCAGGAAGGAAAAATGTTTCGTACGAATAGTGTTTGAGGGAAGCGTATTATCATTACCTCTTTCGTGGCTAAGTATAAAATTTTGATATTTCTTAAATGTATCATTCAACGAAGCACGATATTCTCTGTACAAAAAATATTAACCCACGTACATCCAAAAATGATCATTTTAGAAGATACGAGGAAGACAAGGAGCACACAAAGTGACTTTTAACTAAACTAAACTAAACTTCATAAACATATTCAAATTTGAACACAACACCTTCTAAAAAATGTCGAGGTTTGTTAATATTAAAAAAAAAAAACAAAATTGACCTTTAACTGATTGTGTTAAGAGTTAACAACACCAGAAATCTATGTTTTCGCATCGTTCGAGAATGTATTATATATTAAATGGATGGCAGTATCACTCACCTGTCTGCAACGTGTTGAAAATAATTCCATCGCCTTCTTCAACTTTGACTTGCACGTATGCATCATTCGGTCTCAACCATAATTCTGGCAATGTATTATTGTTAATATCGGACAAACGGAAATAAGTGAGGGGCACCCACCATTTCGTCGTGCTGTTTTCATTTCCGTACAATAAAAATCGTTTTTGTGATATCTCATAGTTATTCTCTTTCCTTATAACGTTCACCACCGGATATCCTGGCTTGTTCACCCACTCGTCCATAAGTTTTTCGAACGTTGTTACATTTTTCTCCCAGTTTTCGTTGAAACATTCGAAAAGATCCGACGAGTCGGCATTTTTGTGCGACCTGTAATTAATATTACGACGATCACGATGAATGATGAAGAAAAATATTCCAAGTAATAATATTCAAGTTGATATTTATTTATATTACAATTAACATTTTCGAAAGGAAATAATGAAAGATTAAAGAGAATTAATTCGTATCACACTTTTCTTTTTAAGTATTATAACATACGTACATTTTTTTCAGGTAATTGGTCAAACTCTTTTGGAAATTATCAGGGGTCAAAATGTGCGACATCATTCGAATAACCGCTCCAGCTGTAAAGAATGTTGTGCGAATGATTAGTGCTTCTTATTACGCGATTTTTATGTACATGTATTGTCGTTTAATTTATTTCCCTCCGTTTTTTCGTGTAAATTAATCGTGTATTTATTTACGAATATGTTAACATTAGAATTAGCAATTTGTAAATGTTTATTTATATCTCGATGCAATATTTTAAGTTTTTCCAAAAATGTATCTGCATCTTTTTTCTTTTTTAAAT